AAGCATTTTGGGGAGCGAGGAGCAAGTCAGGAAGTTTGTAGGTGCGACTCTGCGGGCCAGGCAGGCCCTGCGTACGCTGATGTGTGGACCTGGTTGTACCCAGCAAGATTGACAGCACCCGTCGGGTACTCTACCACACAGCCCCAATGCCGGCACTACACAGCCGTTGAGGCTGGGGGCGCACTGGGGGACCATGTACTGCCGATGTGTCATGCGACCCTGGGGAGAAATTATGGGCCGCGGGCCCCATTGGTACCACTGGTTGTACCCGGACAGGTGAGTAGTACATATTGGACACTCTACCACACGAAACCCCAACACAATCATCGCGCATCCTCGGTGCCAGTATTGTACCCGGGGACCCTTGTAGTGCCCATGTGTGCTCTCAACTGGCGCCACAGCTGCTTTACACATGCAACTGTGGCACACGTAACCCCGTGTGTTTCTGCCCTCCCTTTCCTAGGTAAGTGCCACGCCTGACCTGGACCTCAGCGCCGTACATTGGGCCGCATACAGATGGTTGCAAAGCGACGATTCGCGCAGACCTATCTTCAACCTCACGCGAGTTCTTTGTTAGCGCAGCAGAGCAGTTAGAAACGCGCAGCGCATTTGGCCAAAATGCAGCCCCTTCTTCGCTTACACGCACCCGGAGCGAGGCTAGATCATCCACGTTTCATCCAGCGCGGGCGTTGCACAAAGCCTAACGTTGCTTCAACACATGACATACATCCATACTGACAAGTGCTGATATGTGTGCCAGCACTGCGTCATGACAGCATTGATCAGTGCTGATACACAGGCCTTGTTCTAGCCCTGTTCTGCGCTGCATCAATGGCAATGCAACCAATTGTCGCATCTTCGTGTGGCCTGATTCTGGACACATATTCTTTGTAGCGCTTTGGGAGGTCAAGCGTTTTGTATTACCTCGTGCACATCGACATAAATTTGTATCTGAGTACTTAGAAAGCTTGGCTATTTTTGGCAGGACATGTGGTGAAAGGCCGCCTGAACTGTTTCATGCGAATCGCGATCTCGTCAGGATTGTCATTTGCGTTTTCGTTACGTTTTTACGTTTAGGTTTTTACGTTTACAATTTTACGTTCATGTTTATAGGCATAAAAACGTAAATTTGCAAAAGGGGCTATTTTTACAGCTGTATTTACGTTTTTACGGCTCGTTGCGACAACGAGGTAAAGCGATAGAAATCGCGCGTAGTGATCAGTCCTCCACCTCCTCGAGCACCTGCAACACAGCGTCGACTTAGCACTCGGTAAGGGCCACGACGGCGTGCAACAAAAGTTCGTTTTCTGCCCATTACAGCGCGTCTGGCTGCTACTCCTCGGACACACGAGGCCTGTATGTACTGTCCTTATGTACAAGGGGCTGCGTTTACGTTGTATTTACGTATTTTACGCGTTTCTATCCGTAAAAACGCACAACCTATTTTTGCGCGTAAAGAAGCAAATATGATCTGTGTTTGCGGCGTAAACAACAAGCCTGGATTTCGTGATTTCCATTTCACACAAGTTATGCCGTCCTTTACGCAACTTTAAACTCCTGAACATGCATGGTGTGTTAGTAGCACGCGATTCTGTTGCAGTGGGCCAAAGCACGACAGACAGAATGCGCATTCTGGGCAACTTCTGTCAATACACCTCAGCCAATCGCATGACAGGTGCATCTTTACCACCCAAACGCCGGCCACCCAGCTTGTCACCCGGTTTGCATTCAATAAATAAGCATTTCTTTCTGCCTTTGTGGAAAAAAAGTACAATAACACACAAACACTACTGTGTCTTTGTTCAGTTACAGATATTTGGCCACTAGGCTGAATCTGCCATTTCCCTATGAAATCTGTTGAGAAAAGGCTCAAACTGCATTTACTGAGGTGCCAAATGCCATTTAACGTGATTTCGATGGACATCGGAATCAACACAGGACCGGAAGAAGCGAAATTGCAGTGGGAACAAAATGGAAGGAAAGATCTGGAAGGAGGTACAGTAAATGCATCCATTCTAAGCCGTTTTGTGAAGGACGCAAAGTGGACAATTCCTTTGTTCTGGCTTGCTCTTAGACCTTGTTTTTACGTCTATGTTTACATTTTTGAGTTCACATTTTCACGCATGCAAACGTAAATTGCGAAAGGGGCTGTTTTTATTGCTATACTTCCGTTTCCTGTCTCGTTGGTACACCCAGGTCACACGTTGGAATTCCCGTACAATGGTCAGTCCTCCACCACCTCCTGCACCCGCAGCACATTTGCAGCACTTGCGACAACGTTGCAATGTATGTTGCAGCCATACCAGGCCATGGCTGATGCCTGATCAACAATATCCTTCCCCACAATTTAATTGCATCCACGATTCGGCCTGAAGTGGGGATCAGCACCAGGTCCACGGATTGCAATCCACCAATTGGTGGCGGCTGCCGGCTGGCACCGAACTGGTGCCACCCATGACCAGCTCTGTGCGCACAGGCTGCGCATTTGTGGTGAACAAGCTTGCGGCCTTGGTGCGCTTCTTGCCTTTGCGTTTCTTCAGCCGCGCCGCATGGTGGCGCGCAAACTCCTCCCTGACGTCCCGGGGCACTTCGCCAGTTTATATTGCCAGGCCAGAGCCATCGATGTCGAGATGGCAGCATCGCCCCTGACCGCCCTTCGCGACTTGCTGGCAGTATGCACAGGTGGCTTGGAAACACTTCGCGTCGTCAAAATGTTTGGCGGACGGTCCGTACATTCCCTTGCGCCCCATTGCGAGCGCAGGGAACAGTTGGTCACAGGTTGACCAGGCAGCACAGGCATAATGTACACTAAAAATTTTGAAGTTGTATTTATGTGTTTTGCGCAACTTTACGCGAAAAACCGTAAAATTTATTTTTGCAAGTAAAACGTAAATGCGTTTTGTGTTTGCGACGTAAAAATTAAGCCTTTTTGTTCCTTTGGGCTGCCCACGTCATACGTTTTCTGTGGAACTGTGGACCAGTGGACTCAAGGTCTATTGGCGCTGCACTTGGAGCGTTGGATCATCGTCGTGTATGTATGGCTGCATGCTCATCGTCCTCGCAGAAATTCTTTAGTATGGTTGTTTCTCAGCTCGAGAATCTGTTAGAATTGGCGAACAATTGGTCACTAAATCTATCAGCTCGCAAATCCTTCAATTTGCAAATTGTTTGTAGGTCTTAATAGGCACATAGACCTCCAAATAATATGGTACCGTACTTGGTTCAATGGTTTCTTGTTGGCTCTTTGGAGCACTCAGCGACGTGTTGGGCAAGCGCACATGCAACAGGATGGCTGCGTTATTTTCGATGAAAAACATCGCAATGAGAAGTGCATTCCATATTGAGGATCGACCCCAGTCTCCAGAGACTGGCTCCAATATTTTGAAGAATTTTTTCTTGAATTGCTTTGGTGCTGGGCGTTTCCAAATACACGGAATTCCGTGCTGTGGCTGCCGGTGCTTTGGGAATTCTTCCATGACAAGGGCAAACATTATTACAACTTGGTGTTTGTGGGCGATTGGTCTGTGGCCGTAGGGGCATGTCGTGAGTTGGAGCACGGCTTGCCGCAATTCATCGACTGATGGGCTGGGGTAATGGTGCAAAACTGTTCTCAGAGAGGCGATAGCCTGGGGCATGTAGAGAGTGGGCAACTTTTTTCGGGGCTTCTCTCCGTTCACTGATAGTCCATAAAACCGGTGTAGTTCTTATCCCGTTTCAGACCAAGCACGTCGAAGTGCCTTCGTGCACCATGGCTGGCTTGGTTTGATTCCGTTTGCTCGAACGGCGCAAGGCGTTCCGTGTTCATGTCTGAAGCGAAAGTCTGGTGCACAACTTGCTGGCGCTAGCGTGCGGTGTGGACACCGAGTTGGACTTCCGTTTTGTCAAATATGGTACATCTCCCCTTCTTTGGACCGGGGTTTTGGCTCTTGTTCTCCCAGATTCAACCCATTTTGCTTCTGAAAGTGTACCCAGTGGTTGGAAAGTGAACGAAATATCCTTGGAATGAGGGGGCGCTTGCTTTATCTGGCAATATGTCCACTGTCATTTGTTTTGCACAAGTCTTACACCCGCCTCCTCTGCGTACACATGGTAATCTGACTAGCCCGACGAGCCGAACACAAATTGAGAAGAAGAGCCCGAAATGAAATTGCTGAAAGCAGTGCAGCTGCGTTGCAAAGCGCGTTTGAATGGGACCAATCCTTGCGGGGACTACACATACCTAAATTCAACAATTCAACACGCTGTTCTTGAGTACCGCTGTTAAGTACTGCCTCCATCCTTCGGACAGAAACAGGTTGAAACGACAGTCTTTGCTGGGCTGGCAGGTGTCGGGCGACGAGCAAGCGACACCGAGCGGCTCGGGCATGCAGCGTGCTTCAGCAGTCACTGCTGAAATCGTATACCAACACTGTGTTGGTATACGATTGCACAATCATCAAAATCGCGGACAATTATCCCCGCGCTGGCGCAGCTTTTGGCGATCTCATTGTTGGGTTGACTGGGCGCTCTCCAACGTTGGCACCTCCCATTTTTATTGGCGCCTGTAGTAAAGCCCTTGAAATCCCATCCAGGCAAATATCTGGTAAATTACCACGGCTGACAAATCCGCCGCGGGAACAGTACTTTGCGCCCCAAAACCGAAGGACTCGTCCGTGCAGCGGCCCCAGCGCGAAGAAACATCAGGAGGAGAGCCGAGTACATCGCGCCAGCACGTCGACGCCCTCCTTGTTCGTGATTGGCCAGCCGCACCTGAGGCCATGCTCACCCAAATTTGGAGGCGATGTGGCCCATCCGCCTGGGTTTGTCACTCCTCCGTCAAGCCAGGTGTCCGGTACTTTGCGCCAATGATCCTGCATCCCGTTTGATGTCGGCGATTCCTGGGCCCCGCCTCTGATTCGATCAGCGCTTGGCTGCCCAGGGGGGACATAAGCAGCAGGGCCAACTGCCTTCGTCGGTTTTTGGCCCTCCCGCGGGAAGCACAGCCAGGAGGAGAGGGGACCATGGCGGCGAGGTGTGCGTGGCTGCTGGTGGCCGTTCTGGCGGCATGCGTGGGCAGTGCGGTCTCCGATTCGGAGTGCGGGGGATACGCCTGCCCTGAGTACGATGTCATCGACGTGCTGCACGGGGACGTTGAGATCCGGAGATACAAGTCAGGTGGGCACCGTGCCTGGGGGACCCTTCGCGGCGATCGAGGGGTTGATCTGGGCGTGGATCGGCTGGGCGTGCTTGGTGGAGCTGACGGGGTTGGGGTGTGTTTGGTGGGCAGGCATGTGGGTGAAGTACCCAGTCCCGGGCGATGATTTCATCTTCATGGCGGAGTACGGGGACGAGGTGAGGCGGGGAGGGCGCCAGCCGTGACGGTCCACTGGCACGGAGGGGGGGTGGGGTGGGGAAGAAATGTTGCGATAGAGGTGCGCAACAGCCCAGCCGTCTTCCCGGCGTGCTTTCCCCAGAGTGAGGTTAGCGCCATTCCAGAAGCACACTGTTAGCAACGCGCTTATGGATTATCTTGGCACAGTAATAGAACAGGATGCGTCCGCAGATAACCGCCGAGCACCGAAGTGGCGGGCGCCCACTGTCCCCCGGGCCAGCATACGGCAGGGGATCGGAGGGTGGGCTGCGCCGCTGCCGCCGTGGGTGCGCCCGCCCGCTTCGCACCCGGCCCGTGCGCCGATCCGCGTCGGTGATGATGATGATGCAAGGGGGGGGGGGCTAGATGCACGCCCTGCGCAGAGGGAGTGAGGGGGTTGGGGGGTTGGGGGTGATAATCTTCTTCGCGGACGATTCCTGCTCGCAGAGTGGAGCCCTCGCAACCGTAGGGCGGAGACTGACGCTTTCAGCCGCCGTGGTGCACCTTTCTTCTTCTCAATCACGCGCGAAAGTCTCGACCAGGGTGTGCTGCCCGCCGCAGGCGGCACAATCCCATCCGGGGAAGATCCCCCGCGGACAGGGCGGGGCCCCTGTGGCCTCTGGGCCGCCACTGGCGCTCTGGCCCCCTCGTCGTTTTCTTCTTTTTTCCGTTGTCTCTTAGATCGCGCGCGAGCGTCCCGAACGGCGCGTCCGCGCCGGCCTCTGCCCCAGCCGTGTGGGCGCCTGGGAGGCGCTCATGCCGCTCAAGGACGCCGATTTACCGCATCCCAGGCATCGATGCAGCCGGGCGCGGTGCTGCGCGGCGCAACCTCCCTGGCCTTGGCGGCTTGTGAGCCCGGCTTGCGGCAGACCCGATCCCCGCCAGGGCAACGCGACGGGCCGTAATGGCCACGCCTTGGCTTGGCTTGCCCATTTCGAGGCGCTTTCGTGTTGAGATTGTGCCCGCCCGCCCTCCAATCGGCGCCTCTTTGCTCCCTCCCTTTGCCGCTTTCCGGTCGCGGTTGGAAAGCGGCCCAAGCGACAGGCCGTCGAGGGGCTTCCGGCCGATCGGGCTTGGCGTTGGGGTGGGAGGGTTTGGTGTCAGGCGGGTGGTGTCGGACATGGGCGCGCAGGGGGAGTCCCACGCCCTCCAGTCGCGATTCGGGGTGTATGAGTCAGCCAATCCCTTTGTGGCGGAGGGGCGGCGAAGGGTTGACGGTCAACCCTGTGGGCGTCACGGGACGCCCGTGACGCCGAATCAGCGCGATCGTGTTGGGCACCCCGAGGGGGCATACAATTAGTAGCTGCACCAAATCGGTGACTTTCTGCACTAAATCGGTGATTGCTCGCACCAAATCCCTCCAAAACTAACCTAACCTAAAGCCTAAAACCTAAACCTATAGCTACCCTAACCCTCTCCGAACCCTAAAACTAAGGTTAGGACATAGTGTGCACGTGATTTGGTGCAGGCAGCAATATTGTTCCCCTCCCGGGGAGGGGTGATATACCGGTCCCTCTGTCTTTTTCCGTGAGGATCCCTTCTTGCGCTGACAATGCCAACGCAGATCAGGGGGGCAATGGCTCTAGGGTTTAGGTTGTCGAAACGAGAAGGGGTCTTCACGGAAAAGACAGAGTGACTAATTTCATGTCCGTGGGGGAAAGGGGCGGTTGCGTCAGCATGGCGTGCCGGCGCGAGGACGTGCCGGGGTGGGTGGGGTTGGGTCGGGCGGAAAACCACAAAGGTGTGGACGGCATCCAAGTTGGGGTGTGGCGTAGGAAAAGAGCCCAAAATGGGGAACCACTGCCCAGGCGCTGCCCCCCGAACATGGCGGAAATGGTGCCTTAATCCTGAAAACTATGTGAAAAAGTTTAACCCCAAGCAAATTCGCACCTTGAACCTACAGCTGAAATCCTAAAAACCCTATAATACCCTATAGAACCCTATAAGAAAGAAAGAACTAAACCCTCAACAGCTAATCCGTGGCGCCATGTACTGGGTCCACCGCCTGACAAGTGCTCCCCGTTGCCCTGGCATTGCTTCCATTTTTGGGCTGTTGTCCTACCTGGCACTGCAGTGTGTCTAGTTGGTCGTAATTTCTTAGGGTCTTTTCACCCAAACCAAGACCTTGAAAGACTGCCGCGTTAGCAAGGAGCTTGTTGTTGTGTTGTTTTTGAGTCACGGTAAACCTGGTAATTGCATGATTGCAAAAGACGGAGTCGTGGATAATCTTTTGGTGAGGATGGTACAAGAACCACAAAGCACTGCCCCTGTGCTTGTGAGGCAACAGCATGCGTGATTCCATGCACAGTTGAATTTAGGATTTTGTTCAGTCGATCTCAGCCTGATAGCTATTCACATGGCGACGAAAAACAATGCACTATGCACAGCAGTGTGCCTGGAGTGAAGCCCAACATCGCATTCAAGCTGCAAGTGCAGGGATCAGCGATATTCCTTTGTTGGCAAATGCAATCGAATGATGCAAGTGAAAACTACACACTGTTAATGGCACATGTCTCCACCAAGTTCAGATTATCAGTTTTTCTGGTGGTCTGCATCAAACATCACATGGGATAATTGGGGCTGGAAGAAGCTAGCGAAGTGGACGTGCCAATGCCAAGCAAGACTCTGGCACACGTGTCTGCGTTCATCAGATGGTATGGAGTGGCGGCATAGGAGAGTTGTATGGCCCTTTGCCTGTGCTAGCCAGCTATTAAGTAGTGCCGTAGCCTCAGAACTGTGCCCTCAAGTGTGGCTGTACTGTCCTTGTGAAGCACGTTAATGCTAGGGTGACAAGAGATGCACCCAACCCAATGATTGTGAATCCTTCAATCGTGTTTCTTCAAGAACAACATAGGCTCCTTGCACCTGCAATTCGTTGTGGGGTGCAGAGCTACACACAGCTGGTCCAAAGTGCAATATCTAAAGCCAATGCAAACACCACAGTGCGGTGTGGTTGTGCATGTTTTACTGCACAGTACCCATTTTCTTTTCAGATTCCAATAAATCAATGTATGGCAGTGCACTGTGCTTCTTTGTGAAGTGAGACAACGTCAACGTATTGCACCATATCCAGGCAAAGACTGTGTGCTGATGAGAGCATCGCATTGGTTTGCGACTGTGCAGAAACTGTCCGGCTATTTCGCGGGCGAAAACTACGAGCACAAGGAGGTCGCAGTGTCTTCACCCCTCAAGGTGGACTTCAACGTGTGGAATCTGGGGGAGCAGAGATATGCTGCCTATTGGCTGCCTGAAGCAGAAGAGGTGAGCCAACGCTGCAGCCAGCCGATCACTGGCCAGACATGCTGAAGATTCATTTCTTGCTTGAATCCTGGTTATGTACACAAAATGCCTAGTACTTCGCAGATGCGACATCGCCGCAGGCAAAGTGAATCTCGGCCAGCCCATGGATAAGCCTACCCGCAGTAATCTCAGGGCAACGTAGAGCCCTGATGCCTTTTTGGGTGTCGATGCACGGATATGCATCTTCAGCATGTTTTTGCTCCCCAGTGGCTCCATCTCACTGCCCACTCAGTTTCAATACATTTTCGAAAGAGAAACCCGAAAGAGGAGGTCAACATGAGATCCGGGAATGCTCCAAAAGCTTTGTGTGAAGCAAACAGTATAGAGTTGGCGTTTCCCACTGCTACTGATTTGTCAGCACAGGACAGGATAGATTTGCTGCATGAGCACATAGAACCCAAAGGCATGACCCCGCTCTGTTTGACCGCGGTGAAGCCTACTTCTCCTCCTGCGCTCTCTTCTAGTACACTGCCTTTGCTGTCAAGGCTGTAGCCCACAAGCAACTCAAACGAAGTGGTGTGAATAAAGCAAGTACCAGCATGGTGTACACCATCTTGCCACACATCATTTCAATTGTAAATGGACTGAAGCTGCCTCCTTTTGCCCTCCACAGAGCCTCCCCCCCGCCGCTGTGCCCCCCGCCCGTGTCGACAAGCACGGCGAGAAATTCATCTTTGTGAAGAAGTACAATGCCACCCATGACTTCCGGGCTGTGCTCAAGGAGGTGGCCTCCGGCATGGTGGACCTCACCATCGACGGGTCGCCGTTCGACTTGAACGAAGTTTCCATCGCGATGTACGACTATCCCAAGGGGGGCTCCGGCGAGAGGCAGGAGGACGAGATCTGGTACACGCGGACGTTCAAGCACTGGGACAGCCCTGACGTGCCGGTGCTGAGGGAGATAGCCGAAAAGTTCAGGCGGGCTTTCTGATCTGTACGGCGGCCATCGCGGTGAAGATGGCTTGGTGGGGATCTTGGAGTCCATGGGTTGGAGATCCTGGTGTTGCGATCTCGTTGGCAGAGTTCTCTAGGCGCAAGAAGGCGTGGGGTTTGGCGATGGGAAACAGGTGGAGGTGTGTTGGCCTGATTTTCGGTGGGAGGCGGAACGGGGGCTGGTTGGGAGCCAGTAGCACTTTTGAAGATTTTGAAGGCAAAGATTGGATAATGGTGAGAACACTTAGGAACTTGATTGGGGCAGTTTAATTGGTGCAACGCAAAATTGATGGAGAGTTGTTTGATTGTGTGCCAGTGGCATCCATGCACGGCGCCGGTGGGTTTGGTGCGGGATGGCTGGTGAGAATAAGGTACAAGTTGTGGATCTGTAGGTGGTGGGGACACTTCGCATACAACTGCCATGGGAGGGGGGGAAGACACTCTGAACATTGTCGGATCCGTCCAGTTCCTGTTTGACATCGCGAGGCTTGGCCTGCCTGCCAGGGATGTGACTTTGCAGATGTAAGGCAGGGGTCGATCAATTCCAAGAGAGGGCCGACGCGGCACTTCGTGCAATAAGAACTTTCTGGAAGGCGGTTCCCGGCTCTCGTGGTTTGTTGGCGAAGCTGATGGGCGCAGGACGCAGCTGTGCCTTGTGCTATTTTGATCATGCCCCTTCCCAGCGGAG